ATAATAGAAATCTATGAAAAACTGGCTACTTGTCAATTTACTTGATTAAAGGAGAAGCAATAATAAACATTTTAATTTTGTTTCCTAAAAGTAACTGATACTTATTTGGGGCCAGGAACTAATAAAGCATTTATGTAAACTGTTTCATTTAATCTTCTGGACAATCCTACGAGATATAAATCTTTACTTCACCAGAGAGCCATCTTTCATGACTTTTTTGGGAGGGGCTACACCTAGAGAATGTGGAATCTTAGTTCCCCAACTAGGGATCAAGCCCTCACTCCGGACATTGGAAGCACAGAATCTTAAACACTGGACCACCAGGAAAATATTTTAATAACTTCTTTAAAAGTATAGTAGGTAGCTGTAATATAAAATATTAAATATATGTCATCATGTAATCTTAAGAGTGGAATTACTATTTTAAAAGTCCTATGTATAATCTGACAAAAATAACCTATTCTTTAAAGTAGTAGATTGATTAGAAAAGTTCTACTTAAGACAAATTAGAATAATGTAGAACAACAGAATTCAGGGTATTTTTTTTTTCCACTCTGACACAACAGATAATGTTCACTTCTGGATAAAACTGTATTCAGTTCAGTTCAGTCGCTCAGTCGTGTCCGACTCTTTGAGACCCCATGAATCGCAGCACACCAGTCCTCTCTGTCCATCACAAACTCCCGGAGTCTACCCAAACCCATGTCCATTGAGTCGGTGATGCCATCCAACCATCTCATACTCTGTTGTCCCCTTCTCCTCCTGCCCCCAACCCCTCCCAGCATCAGGGTCTTTTCCAATGTCAACTCTTCACATGAGGTGGCCAAAGTATTGGAGTTTCAGCTTCAGCATCAGTCCTTCCAATGAACACCCAGGACTGATCTCCTTTAGGATGGACTGGTTGGATCTCCTTGCAGTCCAAGGGACTCTCAAGAGTCTTCTCCAACACCACAGTTCAAAAGCATCAATTTTTCGTTGCTCAGCTTTCTTCACAGTCCAACTCTCACATCCATACATGACCACTGGAAAAACCATAGCCTTGACTAGATGGACCTTTGTTGGCAAAGTAATGTCTCTGCTTTTTAATATGCTATCTAGGTTGGTCATAACTTTCCTTCCAAGGAGTAAGTGTCTTTTAATTTCACGGTTGTAGTCACCATCTGCAGTGATTTTGTACAGCCACGTGCAATTCAAGTCTTTCATTTGGGTTGTCTCAGAGCTAAAACCCAAACTTCTGCTTGTTTCCCCTTTTCTCTTCACTACAAACCTAAGCCATTTCCACATTCCATGGGACTTAATTCCCATTCCCCCATCTCTTCAGACAATCTTGCCTCCTATGTCACTGAAGAAGGTGAGACCATCAGGCTTGAAATCCATGAATTCTCTGCTGCTAGACTAACAAATGTATCCAACTGTGTATCCATCCTTCCAATCTTCTCTCAGAAGATAAAAAGTCTCCTCTCCTTTTGGTCCAAATCGAATTTTCTGTCTGTGTTCTTGGTTCCACCCTCTTCCATCTCCTCGAGGAAGCAGAACCATGAATTTTCCATTTCATCTCTTGTGTTGTGGTAATTTGTCAAATACATTGCTGCTATGCCCACAGCCTCTTATGTGGGAAGGGAAACCATCCAGTCTTTAGGTGAGGTGAGTGGATTTTCTTTTTTTAGAAAAGTTATGAAATGATCTTTGATGTGTGTCTTGTCTGTGGAGGTCATTCACTTTAAAATGAAAATTTATACTGCATAGTTGCTAGAGAACTAAGCATCTCAGCACAGGAATAATAACATTGAACATTATTTATGGTAAAAATATCATTCATAGCAGTCTGGAGGCTTTAATCATCTCTTATTCTCAAAGAATTCCTGCAGTGTAGGTTCTAATATTGCTATTTTCAGATAAGGAAACCAAGTCCCAGAGAACTTAGGTAATTTTCCAAGGTTAATGAGTCACTGAGCTGGAGTCTGGATACAAAGCTTATGAAATTTCTGTTCTCTTCATGCTAGATTTTCCTAGCCAAAACATGAAGGCAAAAACATTAACAGGAAGTTAATTCTATTTTATCATTTGCCATTCTGGCTTCACATCAAAAATAATTGGAATTGGTTTATGTAACTATACAATCAGCATAAATGAACAGATGAATAATTAGAGGAAGAAAAATAAAATCAAGCTAGGGGCAAATCTAGTGTTTTGGAAGTTAAACAAGTTCTCTAAAGATTGTTGCATTAGGAAGGAGCAATGCTGTTAGAATTTCGTAGCTCCTGAGGACTCAAAAGATTGGTAATGAGATGTGATCATTATTTAGTTATTTATCATTGCACTGGGTCTTCAATGCTGCGCTTGGGCTTTCTCTAGTTGCGGAGGGTGTGGGCTTTTCATTTTGGTGGCTTCTCCTTGCAGAGCAAGGACTCAGGTGCACAGGCTTAGTTGCTCTGCAGCATGTTAAGTCTTCCCTGAACAGGGATTGAACCCCTGTTCCCTGCATTGGCAGGCAGATTCTTAACCACTGGACCACCAGGGAAGCCTGAGGTGATTATTAAATACATGTATGCATTAATTAAATACATAATAAAATGTATGTATTTTATTAAGTAAAATACATTATGTATTAAGTAAAACATAGTAAGATACATCTGGCACAAATGTTTGCTTAATGAACCATAACTAACAAGGACCTACTGTACACCATAGTAAACTCTATTCAATACTCTGTAATGGCCTATATGGAAAAAGAATCTAAAAGAGTAGATATATGTATAACTGATTCATTTTGCTATACACCTGAAACTAACACAACACTGTAAATCAACTATACACCAATAAAAAAATTTTTAAAAAAGGAAGTCCATAAAGAAAGAGTAGATGTTCGTTAAAATTAATTTGAGCATAGCTCTGTGAAATATCACTGACATAAATATTCAGGCACTAACATTCCAAAACATGGTATAACAAAAAAGAACATATTCTAAAAATGGTTACCTGTCATGGTTCTTAAAATGTGAAGCATTCAGGATGGAATCTATTCTTGATTTTACACCATTTTCCTTACTGCTTAACGTTCACAGGTACATGTTTCTGGACCGAAGGGGCACTTTTATGGATAAAAAGAATAAAGCTAGAGGTAGACTTACCAAGAGCAATTACCAAAAGTGTCTTTGAAGGAAAAGCTACACTTAGAAAAATATAACCCAAACTTCCTCCTATTTGGATCATTCTATGACTTCTTGGGGCATCTTAGTTCTCAGACCAGGGATTGAACCCTGGCCCTCGGCAGTGAAAGTATGGAGTCTTAATCACTGGACTACCAGGATATTCTCCAGATTGCAGTTTTAAAAATATATTTTACCACTATGGGATTCCCTGGTAGTTCAGATAGTAAAGAATTTTACTGTAATGTGGGAGACCTGGGTTTGATCCCTGGTTTGGGAAGTTACTCTGAAGAAGGGAATGGCAACCCACTCCAGTATTCTTGCCTGGAGAATCCCATGGACAGAGGAGGCTGGTGGGCTGCAGTCCATGCAGTCGCTAAGAGTCAGACACGACTGAGCAACTAATCCTCATGACTTCTTTGGGCTTCCCTGGTGACTCAGTCACTAAAGAATCCGCCTGCAAAGCTGAAGACACGGGTTCAATCCCTGGGTCAGGAAGACCCCCTGGAGAAGCACATGGCAACTCACTCCAGTATTCTTGCCTAGAGAATCCCATCGACTGAGGAACCTGGCAGGCTGCAGTCCACAGAAGCGTGAACAGTCAGACATGACTGAAGCAACTGAGCATGCATACATAATTTAATACTCTTCCCTAGCTGGCATTAAAATTAGGATTCAAGTGGAAAAGGACAGGGTCTGGTGGCTCAGATGGTAAAGAATCTGCCTGCAATGCAAGAGATCCGGGTTTGATCCCTGGCAAGATCCTCTGGAGAAGGAAATGGCAACCCACTCCAATAGTCTTGCCTGGAGAATTCCATGAACAGAGGAGCCTGGCAGGCTACAGACCATGGGATTGCAGAGTCAGACACGACAGAGAGACTAACAAGTGGAGAAACCAAGGTACTGTTCAGATTTATGATTTTTGGAGTGAGATTCTGAGCAATAACCTACAAAAAACCTAGGGGTTGATTTGAGTATGTAATTATGTGGGAGGAGAGTCTGGACTCAAAGTGGCGGTAAACACAGACCTCGTTTGCTTCACAAAGATTAGCCCATACTTATCTGTTGGACCATGACTCAACGCGCCTGAGTTATCAGGATTGTTGTCTCTACTGGCTAAACCTTCGGTATCAAGTACTTCTGGGATGCTGTCTCGCTGATGTCAGCTTTGCCACTCCATGTCAATAAAATACCAAAGGTTCAGGAATTTCCAGGAGAACTGAGCCTCTTTCCAAGTTCTTCTCTGCCTGCTGTAAAAGGGAAACTCAAATGCGGGAAAACCTTGGGCTTAGGAGGTACGCTGGGGCAGGATCCACGAATCTACATTTTCATCAAAGGCTTTAGGCAGATTTGATGCAGCTGGTTCAAACTACATTTTGAAAAACAGAGTACAATGTTAAGAATGATGACACAAGAGCTAGCCGTTAAAACGTGTCCTGTTTTGGCAGCTTTGGCAGACTAAGCCTGAATCCGGCTTCATTCACAACCAAGAGAATGAAAACAGCGGAGGAGTCTTTGAGTCAGTCCCTGAGGCACCAGCTATGAAGAAACTCGCCCACATTCCAGGGCCAGGAGATGCAGGCTCCACCTTAGCCACAGGTCTCCGAAACTCCTCGGAGAGTTCTGCCGGCTTCACCTGAGCCACGGGTCCACTGGACTCCTCACTGCATCCCGCCTGTCCTCCCGGTGCTCGACCAGCGACGTCTACCTCTTAAGAGTCGGAGTGCCGAAAACTCTCAGTGAATCCCGGGGGCAGCGGCCGGAAGCGCCCTTCAGGCCCGCCCCCTGCCCACCGGAGCCGGAAGTCGGCGACCCAGCCGGTACGTCACCCTCCGCGGGTCGCTGCGCACCATGCCCCGCGGCCCGTGCAGCCTCGTCAGGGTCTCCGCAACGCCCGTCGCGGCCCTGGCTGTGGCGTTAGTCTCGTCGCTCTCTCGCTGCTCCCTCCTGGAGCCGGAGGACAGTGTGGTCTCCGCGCTCAGCCCCTACTTCGGCACCAAGACTCGCTACGAGGATGCCAACCCCGGGCTACTGCCGGACCCTGAAGCGCCGCGGCGGGACCCGGAGTTGTTAGAGGAGACCTGCACCCCAGTGCAACTGGTCGCCCTCATCCGCCATGGCACCCGCTACCCGACGACCAAACAGATTCGCAGGTTGCGGCAGCTGCACGGGCTGCTGCAGGCCCGCGGGGCCAAAGATGACCGGACCCGCGCTGCCGGCCGCGGAGACCTGGGCGCCGCGCTGGCCGACTGGCCGCTGTGGTACGCGGACTGGATGGACGGGCAGCTGGTGGAGAAGGGGCGGCAGGACATGCGACAGCTGGCCCTGCGCCTAGCCTCCCTTTTCCCAGCCCTCTTCAGCCAGGAGAACTACGGCCGCCTGCAGCTAGTCACCAGCTCCAAGCACCGCTGCGTGGACAGCGGCGCCGCCTTCCTGCAGGGGCTCTGGCAGCACTACCACCCGGGGTTACCGCCACCCGACGTCGCAGGTGACCACCCTGGGCCGCCCCCAGATCCTGGACTTCCCCGACTCCAGCCTCTCCTCACTTCCCTCTGACCCCAGTCCCCCGTCCTTCGCCGCCCACCCCGCGCCCATCCTTTGGACTGTTCAGCACTTGACTCTCTCCCTTCTCATACATAATGTTCATTTATTCTTTTATCAGGGATGAATTTGGTACCTTCTACGTACAGGAAGCTGTAGTATACGTTGCGGGATCCAATAGTAAAGGAGACAGGCCAGGGCAGTTTTTGATCACCCATTCCCAAAATGAATTTCTCTCTGAGCACCAGCCCTTGTTCCTTTCCTCTCTCTCTGACAGCGAGTTCTACAGTTGGGCAGGCTTTTTTTTTTTTTTTTTTAAATTTAATACAATCTGAGTTTTTTCCTCAGGCTTTACCTCTGATAGTATTTGGATTTTATTTTATTTTTTTTATTGACAACTTTTTCTGATATCAGTTCTAGACCTACAACCTATTTTAGGAAGCTGCTCTAGGACTTTCTTTTCTGCTCTGCTTTTTTCTCTTTTGTTCTTGCATGTACTGTAGAGTTACTCTCTTTGTAGCTGTGGTCCATGGTCATGGCACAGTACTTTACTAATTTATTCCATTACTTATGCTTTTGCAAAGTTTGGGAGATCATCTAGCATCGCTCTTATTTCACAGGTCTTGATGCTGAGCCCAAGAATATCCCTTGCTGATAGTCCTTTCTTGGTTTTAAGGACTGAGTCAGGCCCAGAATCCAGGCCTTCTGTTTCTCTGGAATGATGCTTTTTTCCTTAGAAAATGTTTTAATAGTCATAGACAACAACAATAATAATAGCAAACACTTAATGCTTGCTGTGTGCCAGGCATGCCTCACACTTATTTCACATAATCTTTACAACAGTTCTCTGAAGTTGATGGCATTTTCACCCATCTTAACAGGTGAGGAAGTTGAGTCATAGAGACAATACTTTGCCTAATTTCACATGACTGGGTGTGGACCCAGGGAAAAGGATTTAGAGCTTGAGCTCTTAACCGTGGCACTTTATATACAACTTCTATTTGTCCTATAACTTAAGGATAAGAATGAAAACATGGCATTTTTGTGCCAGAGAGATGAACAAGTGTTAATACTTCTTGATCAGCTTTAAGGTCAAAGTTGAGGTGAGGCATCGTTTAGCTTTAAAAAGCCCAAGTGAAAAGTTAGAGGTAGACTAGTTTGTCATTTCTCAAAAAGCATCCTCTCTTCAGCTGTTCCGCCATCTTCAAGGGGTTCTTCCATTGACTGTCCTGTCACTGCTCTGGGGGTAACTTATTTTGCTGACTTGTGTTTACTCACTTGTTGAATTGCGCTTTTTGATTAAATAGCTAGACTTTTTCCCATTAATATGAGTGAAAATTTCCCACAATTTTTTAAAATTAGCTGAATGTTGGTATACACTAATGTATACCAGAAAGGAACCACTGGACCTCCTGGGATGAATAAATTTTTGCCCTTAAATGGCATTGTGAGAATTAGCATTTGCCAGCCCTGGGTCAAAATAGTTCAGGATAAGCCACCCCTCACCATTTTCAGTCTCAGAGATTAAACCTTTTGCTTAGCTGCATTATTATTATCTACAGACAATTGTTTTGCCTGTTTTGTACATCTGGGTTTTGGAGGGAAGCCACTGAATTGGATTTTGTATTCTTACAGAAACAGAACAATGCCTTTGTTTCTGTTTAAAGAACAGCAGTAATTAGATAATAGCAGGAGCGAATTATCCAGATCCACTTAGGAAATTCTGAGGCCACAGAAAAAGATGAGAAAGATGACTTATTTTCCTAGTCAAGATGTTTCTTAAGAACTGTAATCCAATTGCCAATTCAGTGGGCTTGATTATTCATTTCAGGATTTGAAATGAATACCTACACATACATAGAGATATTTTCACAGACACATCTAAAAGACATAATTTTCTCATTTTAATTACAGAAACAATATTATATACTATTAGTACTTAGTGTTCTTGTCATAGTAAATTTTTGGAAAAATGATGACTGAAATCTGTGTATTTTAAATATGACTAAGAAAACTTAAAAGGCACCCCAGTAGTTGGAGCATGATTATGAATGCTTTTCTAGTATGTATTTGTTCCTTAATTGGGGAAATAATGTAACATATAAAATTCTAAATGGAAAGTTATGTAGGAGCTCCAATTAGAAAATAAACCAAATCAGAAACATCCAGCACAATGAAATACATAATACCTGAAACTTTCATATATCTTGTGTTGTTGTCAATAGTTTTTGTCCAAAGTAGTCTTTTGTAAAGTAACACAGATTTGAGAAAGTTAATTGAGAATATAAAATACTCTTTATTTAGACTTTGGATTAAAGTAGTAAAACAGAGTCTACCTTGAATTCTCTCTCACCTTGTTATTAGAAGCTTTGCTAATTTTTAGTTTGATTTCTCAAATTTTCTATGCCTGATAGAAACAGTACCTATGTAATACATTTTTGCACTTCTTATGACATTCATGTCAAATCATTTTTTGTTTTCTTTAAGAAAACATTCAATTTATTCCATAGTGTAGTATTGCTCTAACATTTTATTTTTACCTTTGATGTTCTCTGTTTCTTTAGTCTTTTTTTCCATCCTCTCATGAACTAACAGTCTTTACAATTGGGAAATAGTTTTGCCCCATGTCTTTCATAAGCAGTGTGTTTACTTATTTCAGATATGTTGAGGTGTGAATAGGTTTTTAGTGTTCCTTTTTATACTTGAAACAAAATTTTCAATAATTTGAAATTGTCATTCCTGTCAATTTTTCTCCTTTCAGATATGGAGTGTGGACCTCCAAGAATTAATGATAAATTAATGAGGTTCTTTGATCATTGTGAGAAGTTTTTAACTCAAGTGGAAAGGAATGCTACTGCTCTTTATCATGTAGAAGCCTTCAAAACTGGACCAGAAATGCAGAACATTTTACAAAAAGTTGCGGATATTTTGCAAGTGCCAGTCAACAACTTAAATGCAGGTAATGTGCCTGTTATGTTGCATTTGAACTCTGAAATAATTTAAGTGATTTTTAAACTCTAAATATGGAAAAATATGGAAGAATAAAGTTATTCCTTTTAAAGGACCACAGTTGATTTTACATTGAGAAAATAATGTGTTCTAGGTCAAGAAGATTCTATATCTCATGCTTACTATTTTTAGGTTCAGATTTTTCTTTGAGTTTTGTGTAAGTTAATACACAGAATTCTTGATATATACTGGATTTGTTTTTTTGTGTTTTTTTTGAGGGCAAAGTTATATGAAGTTTTAACCCCAAGCATTATTTACAAAACAGAAATTATCTTTTCTGAATTATCTCCTCCTATGGGAAATAGATGGGGAGACAGTGGAAACAGTGTCAGACTTCATTTTTTGGGGCTCCAAAATCACTGCAGATGGTGACTGCAGCCATGAAATTAAAAGACGCTTACTCCTTGGAAGGGAAGTTATGACCAACCTAGATAGCGTATGATGGCATATTAAAAAGCAGAGACATTACTTTGCCAACAAAGGTCCGTCTGGTCAAGGCTATGGTTTTTCCAATGGTCATGTATGGATGTGAGAGTTGGACTATAAAGAAAGCTGAGCACTGAAAAATTGATGCTATTGAACTGTGGTGTTGGAGAAGACTCTTGAGAGTCCCTTGGACTGCAGGGAGATCCAACCAGTCCATCCTAAAGGAGATCAGTCCTGGGTGTTCATTGGAAGGACTGATGCTGAAGCTGAGACTCCAGTACTTTGGCCACCTCATGCGAAGAGTTGACTCACTGGAAAAGACCCTAATGCTGGGAGGGATTGGGGGCAGGAGGAAAAGGGGACGACAGAGGATGAGATGGCTGGATGGCATCACCAACTCAATGGGCATGAGTTTGAGTAAACTCCGGGAGTTTGTGATGGACAGGGAGGACTGGCATGCTGCGATTCATGGGGTCGCAAAGAGTCGGACACGACTGAGCGACTGAACTGAACTGAACTGAACTGAAAGTAATATAAATGGAAAATCATTTAAAAATTCTTTAGCTTTTAAAGCAGTTCAGAAGTACATGTTAATGTTTACAAGGGATTAAGTTTTAGAAAAGAAGTGTGATTTTTTTTTTTCCTTTGAGGCTTTTATCCTAGAGATTTTGAGAAAGTGAACAGACATATCTGTCATAAGTTGTTGCAGTGGGTGGGTTGGCTGCAGTTTATCATGCAACCTGGGTAAAAGGAAACCACTATTAATAATTGTGCTGGGAGAGCAGGTGGAAAACCAGGATACATGCTCACCTAGCAATGAGAAATTAAGAAAAATAATAAAAAATTTTCCTGTTTTCTAGGAATGTGTAATCCATACAGCAGATACTGACGAATCTATATATAGAGTATGATTTCTTTATAGTGTGAGTAAATTTCCAAGGACCAGTGCAGGAAATGTTGGGAACAAATTAAGTAGACTAGCATCTGTTGATTTGGTGTCTAAATGCTTTATGTGAGTGCATGCTCAGTCATGTCAGACTCTTTGTGACACCATGGACTGTAGCCTGCCAAGCTCCTCTGTCCATGGAATTCTCTGGGCAGGTATACTGGAATGGGTTGCCATGCCCTCCTCCAGATGATTTTCCCAACCCAGAAATCAAACCCCAGTCTCCTGCAGTTCCTGCATTGGCAGGCAGATTCTTTACCACTGCACCATCTGGAATGCCAAAGGATCAGAAAAGTGAAGATATCTAGACTAGCATTTAAAATTGAGTTTTTTCTCTTTCTTCAACTGGCTATGCATTGGAGTCATTTGCAGAGCTTTAAAAATTACTTATTTGGGAAATAATTCAAGTACATAGGTAATAATAAAGGGTAATGTAATGAGTATCTGTATACCCACAACTTAGTTTGATCAGATTTTAAAATTATGCTTCAGTTAGTTGCTTTAAATAAATTGAAGGCCCTTAGGCCCTCTCCAGGATCTCATTCCTTTCCTTTTCTCCCCACAGGTAACTACTGTTATGAATTGAGCATTTAAGTCATCCTATGCCAGTTTTTAATGTTTATATTTATGTACCTAAATGGGATATAATTTGCAGATTTTTAAACTTTTAGGAATGATGTCAAACTATGATGTCAGTCTGACATTTGATTTTAATTCAGCTTTGTATTTTTTTATTTAATGTGTGTAATTCTACATTTATACTTATGTATAGAATTACATTATATAACTACCAGTATCTAGCCATTATTGTGTTAGTGGACATTTAAGATTGTTTAAGATTTAAAAAAAAAAAAAAGTTTCTAGTCTCTGAATTGACAAGGATTTTTGTGTTCTGGATTTCTCTGGTGGGTCAGTGGTAAAGAATCTGCCTGTCAATGCAGGAAACATGAGTTTGATCCCTGGGTTGGGAAGATCCCCTGGAGAAGGAAATGGCAATCCGCTCCAGTGTTCTTGCTTGGGGAATCCCATGAACAGAAGAGCCTGGTGGGCTATGGTCTGTGGGGTTGCAGAAGAGTAAGACACGGCTTAGCAACTGAAAACAACAATAAATTTGTGTTTTACTGATTGGGTGAGAGCAACTTTTTGGAGGCAATATTAACATAATGGTTAAAATCATGGGTTCTGGAATTGGACTGTTTGCATTTGATTCTTGACTTTGTTATATTTTTGAATAACTCTCTGATCTTTATACATCACAAGTTCCTTAATAACTGTGTCATGGTTTCTTTCTGTGTAAAACAGATATAGAAATTGTACCTGCCTCATAGGATTATTGGAAGGATTATAATAGATTTATTCATGCAAAGCATCAACGCAGTACCTGGCACAGAGTAGCTGCTCGAAAATACTTTAGTTATTTAAATACATTTTTTTTTTTACATAGAAAGGTGAAGTTGAATGTATTTTTTGTAATTTATTCTTATTTAGAAATGTTGCTGCATAATTTTTTAAATTGTGTTATTTCAAAAATATATATGATACATTTTTAGGTCAATACTAGTTAAAAGTTATTTACCCCATCATTAAATTTTACTGGTCAGAGAGGCTGAAGCTAATACAGTCCAGATTCTTTGTATAGGAAATTACTTTTCTATTGAAGTTTTTCTTAGTTTTTAGCTCTTTCAAATAATGCAACAGTGAACATCCTTATAGTCTGCTTTTTGCACTTGAGAGTTTATAAGATAAACAAATATAGGTAGACTTATTGGATTAAGCAGCATGAATATTTTACATCTTGACATATACTTCCAAATTTTTCTCTGAAAGTGTAGAAAAATTTGTATCAGCAATAAATGAGAATGCTCATTTCCCCTAATTCATCCAATAGTGGATATTATTAGTCATTTTGACTTTCACCAATTTGATTAGTGAAAAATTATATCTAGCTTTAATTTGTGTTCCTTTAGTTACTTGTAAGGTTGAACTTCCTTTCATAGGTTTATTAGTTATTTCATTCCTTCTGTGAATTGCCTCTTTATAAACCTTGGCCATCTTCTGTTGGATTATTGTTTTTTCTCATTTAACATAGGTACCCTTTATGTGTTATAGATATATTAATTATATATTCTTTACTATTGTTTGACCAAAGGATAAATGCTTTGCCTATTTTGTGTCAAGATCCAGGGAGCCTAGAATGAGTTGCCCAAGATAATTAGTGGCAGAGTCAGGTCGCATAGTATGATTTTTCCCTCTTTCTCTCCTCCTTGACCCTTTGTTTTACCTTCCTCCTGACTCCTCACTTACTCTGCCCTTTTTCTTCTCTCCTTTTTTATATCCTTCTCTGTACTTTCTTCTTAATAGTTATAAAGTAAATTGTTGTGTAGTTAAAAGAACTGTTCAATAAATGTCCCTTGTTATTGCTAATTTTCAAGTTGGGGATTAAAACCTTTTATAACTCTATCTCCCTTCTTCCAACCCTCTAAAATTAACAGAATCAAACTATGTTTTATGTAGTAAGTCCTTGGCATTCTGTAGATATTCAGCCTTTGGAAAACTGCATAAAATAGTAACCCACAAATTTTACTCTTTTTTTTCTCAGACTTAATTCAAGTAGCTTTTTTCACCTGTTCCTTTGACCTGGCAATTAAAGGTGTTAAATCTCCTTGGTGTGATGTTTTTGACATAGATGATGCAAAGGTATGTATTACTTTTGGAGTTTCTTTGCCTTCTTTGCATGGTTTTCATTGTTGTTATTTGAAGCAGCTTTTCAAAAAAGAGTAGGGAACATTAAGTGTCTTGGACTATCTCATAATTTTCTTAACAAAGATTAATTGTTCAGATAGGACCTATCTATTTGTAAATAGTTTGTGTTCATAAAACTCTGGGAAACATTCTTCATTGTGATTTGATTTCTAGGTCCACCCGTTTGAAAACCTACTTAACCCATCATCAAATTCTACTGCCTTGAAGGATTGTAGAGCTAATATAATCCAAATTCTTCTTTTTATAGGGTGAATGGATTTCCAAAGTTCAGAGAGGAAGAGTGGATTTCCAATACCTATTCTTTTATAACATTTTCATAATATATTGAGTTCTGTGCTCTACCTGGTGATGTCAGTAATTCATCTACAGTTTCTGCCTGCCTAGTTGGTATTCCCTTTCTTTCCTCTTCATTCACATGGCTTCTTTGTAGAAGCCAACTGTTTTTGGAGCTGTTCCAGTGTATGTTTCTATCTTTAGGCTTCTTCCCATATCTTTTTTTTTCTCATATTGTAGTCTCTTTTTTAAATGATTATTTTATTTTCTTAAGTCTTTAGAATTCATGATACTCTATTTAATTATAGTTTTCATCTGCTCTGTAGAATTTCTAGAGTGAGGGTTTTTTTTTTTTTTTTTCCTGGCTGTTTTATCTGTGTAGCTGTCTTGTTTTTAATTTGTATGTTTGTATAGACACTAGCACCTTTTTAATTACTCATCTTTGCAATGAATTCAGCTTTTACTTCTCAAGTGGCCAATAGGGATGAACCTATCAGTTCAAAGATAAGTATTGTGCCTTACAATTTAGAGTTTTTCTCTGAGATTCTTTGCAGAATACTTCATGTAAAGATGATGGTCAGTATGTTTCCTGTAATGGTGTTACAGCCTGTCCAGGAAGGCTCCTCTTAGACTTCATTGTTTTAAGCAAGGATTGTTGGATTTACTTCTGCAAGTATTCCATGTGCTTTGAGGATCTGTCTTCTGCTGGTTTTATCTGAGATGTTTTGTTTGATTTTTACTACATTTGGCAGTCCTTCCTCATTTATGGTGGTGGCTCAGGGTACAGAGGATTTCTAATCTCTTTGAAAGGAGCATTTGCCTTTCTCTTTCTGATTCTTGTTTTTTAGAGTGATTTCTGAGAGAAAAGAGCAAATATATATTTTCTATTTAAGAGCACTTCCAGTTTTTCATTATAAAATATGTTTGGCATCGTCACCTGTAGTTATCCTTACCAAGTTAAGGAAATTTCTGTTTCTTGTCTGCTAAAACTTTGTATTTGTTTATTGTTTTTAAAGTTAAGAATGTGCTGAATTCTTGTGCTGGCATCTAGGAAAATGACTATTTTTTCTTCTTTAATCTTCTAGCATAGTTAATTACATTAGTACATTTTCTAGTATTGGATTGTGCTTGTATTCCTTCTTTCTTACGATAGATTCTTTTATTGACTGATTTTCCTCCTAGTTAATGTTATGTTTCTTGTTTCTTCTTGTATTTCTAGTAATTATTTATTAGGTAATGGACACTGTGAACATTACGGTGTTGAATACTTGGATTTTGCCTTTTAAGTGTTGAATTTTGTTTTATTCTGCAGTTAAGTTACTTGTGGATCAGTTTGATCCTTTTGAAGCGTCATTCTTCCTGAATTTCATATTCTAGACCTGGCCTTACAAAACTCAGACATAAGACTTTACTTATACACATCTTTACTATTAAAGTATGACCCTTTGGCATCCAGATTGAAATCCTGGATCTCTTGGTGTCTGTGGAAGCTCTCTGCTTAAGCTGCTTGGAACGTGAATATCTTCTAGCCTTGTGAATATCTCCTAGCCTCTGCAATTGATCAGCTTACAAATCCCATAACGTTAGCAACATAATCAAGGGGATTCCCCCCGCACCCCCCCCCAACTCCATGATTTTTGGAGTTCTTTTCCTGTGTAGCTTCTTCCTCTCTTCTCTAACCTGCTAACTCCAGTCACTTCAGACTCACTAAACTCTGAGCGCTGACTCCTTGGCTCAGCAAGACTGCTGCATTCTGCTTGACATTCTTTTCCCCGTGTCAGTTTCAGAGTGCCTCTGCTTTTTCATTTCTGATACTCTTTTTGTTTCATTTCTCAAAAAGATTTGGCAAAACTTTGATTCTTTTTATTTTCATTAAAAAGTTTTTTACTTTGCCCTTTTGTTAACTTCTTGATTTAATTACCTGTTTAGCAACCCACTCCAGTATTCTTGCCTGGAGAATCCCATGGATGGAGGAGCCTTGTAGGCTAGAGTCCACGGGGTCGCAAAGAGCTGGACACAACTGAGCAACTTCAACTTTCACTTTTAATATTTGTTGAGTTTTGTTTTTAGTACATGGCACTGACCTGTCCTTTTTCTTGCTTTTAAATTTACAGCTAGCACTTAATTTCTCTAGGGACTTTTCTGGGAAGAATGGCTGATAACGACTACATAGTCTTCTCTTGTACCTCTTTTGGATTGCAACTTTTTATCCTCTACTTTTGGTGTTGGATCAAATGATACATGAATACAAGTTTTAACATTCAGATAAAGGCTACCTTAATCACCAACTCCAAGTTAAGAGCTCTCCACAGAAAATCTACCATTCTTGTCAGTTTGATGTGTACTTTTCAATCTTTTAATGTATGTGTGTATTTTTGGTAGTAAATGGTATTGTACTGTATTTGTTCTACTTTTTTTCTTTAGCAAATGTCATTTTCAAAAATACAGAAATTTACAAAACAACTGGCATTTATTGAACAGTGTCTGTGTGCCAAGGGCATTTTTGAGAACTTTGCACAATTCTGAGAAGGTACTGGAACTCTCAGCAGATAATGAAGTAAATCTCAACTAAATTATGGAATGTGTCCAAGATTTCAAAACTCAAAATGAAAGAAATCCAGCATTTTTAATAGATCTGTGAAAGGCATAAGGCTCCAAACATTGAAAATCACTGCATAAATTATAGCTTTCAATTACTTCTCAGGAAAATGAAAAAAGAAAATTAACACATTCTACTGCTAGTCCACACTTAAGATGTCAGCAGGACTGGGCTCCTCTGAGGGCTGTAAGAGAAGGCTCTGTTCCAGGCCTCTCTCAATGGCTCACATTTGACCATCTTTCTTCTATACGTATCTGTGTCCCATCCTTCCCCCATCTTGCTCTTCTCTCATTACCAACAGTAGTTAAATAACATAGACTGGGCTACATAAAAAAATTCCAGTAGGGTAAGAATACCCTGGCCATGACAGGTTCAGAAATGCCTAATATTGCCCCATCACACTAAAATGGGCTTCCCAGGTGGCTCAGTGGTAGAGAGTCCACCTGTCAGTGCAGGAGCTGCAGGAGACACAGGTTTGATCCCTGGGTCGAGAAGATCCCCTGGGAGATGAAATGGCATCTCCAGTATTCTTGCTGAGATAATCCCACGGACAGAGGAGCTTGGCGGACTACAGTCCATAGGGTCACAAAGAGTCGGACATGACTGAGCAACTGAGCATGCTTGCACACTTTAACAGTAGTTGGTGGTCTGATCTATTGCCTGTGGTGAGGCCAAGTATTTATTATTCTTAACCTGCTGTTCTCATTCAGCATTATGTCTTGGAGATGTTTCCACGTCAGTTCATGTAGATCTATAAATAATCTCATAGTATCCATAGTATGTGTACATTATAGTTTATTTAATTATCTACCTTTTAATGAAGTTTAGGTATTTCTAGGATTTTTTTTTTTTTGGTTCCTATAAGCATTGCTATTCTAAGATATTCTTGTACATTGTCTCTCATGTTCCTCTGTGATTATTATTATAAATGGAATTAATAGTTCTTAAGAGATGTGTGTCTTTTGTCAGTTTGTCCTTTAGACTGTTTTATTATATTAATACATTCCTTCTAGTACCAATTTTCCATAGTCTTGGTCTACTTTTATTTGCTATTTTTATTACTGTTTTTGGTTAATTGAACCAAAGTAACTCATTTTCTATCTGGTTTCTACCTTCCTAAAGTTCTTTAAAATCCCTGACTCACTGTGAGCAACTTTCTATGCTATAATGAATATTTTTCTATGTATGTTTTCTTTTTTCTATATCTACCTTTGCTATCATCTTAATATAATTTTAGAAGAGAAGGGGGGCACGCAGCTGTCTTTATCCCACTCTTCTGAACTGTCAAGGATGCTGGGATTGTTGGCTGTGAATACTACTGACTTGCTCTTGCATGTCAGTCTCTACATTCCTATTCAGGTTTGTGTCTCAGCATAAATCTCTGGGTCTCACCCTTAAATGCTTGAAATGGTAAAAAAGAAAAAAGAAAAAAGAAATGGTAAATAAAAACTTTGTAACTGCTAAGATTCTCCTTTACTTTGTGTAGAACAGTGATTAAACAATGTAACCTTTTCTGAGAGATCATTATTAAATCAGAAAATCTGTTATATTAATGAAAATGTAAAGATTTTTGAAATTTTTATTTTTAGGTTTTAGAATATTTAAATGATCTGAAGCAATATTGGAAAAGAGGATATGGGTATACTATTAACAGTCGATCCAGCTGCACCCTGTTCCAGGATATCTTTCACCACTTGGACAAAGCAGTTAAGCAGAAACAACGGTAAAAACTTTAAAAAAGCTTTTTTTAACAGGATTAAAGCCCAGTTAAGCTTCTGGAAAATGTTTTATAATGGGTGATTTTTAAAAATAGATTTGGCTTTTATGTTTTTAAAAAATAATTATACTTACAAAATAACTAGCTGACCTATATAAGTTATAAAGCATGTACACCCTCCATTCAACCCAAGAACTGGAACGTTAGTAATAATTTGCGTTTGTCTATTTATGTACTTCTCCGTGATTTCATTTTCCACTCTCACTTGGCCCTATTTACTTCCTATCCCCTTTGCAGACTATTCCCCATTTGGTCCATATTATTCCTTAGTCTCTATAAAATTTTTTTTTATTATGAATGTATCTGTGCCCAAATGACATGCTTAGTTTTGCTTAGAGACATATGCTTACTGTATTTTGGGATTGTTTCTTTCCCCCTCCAACATTACATTTATAACATTTATCACGTTGTTACATGTACTATAGTTTACTCATTTTTATTGGAGTACTGTATTCAGTAATGTTCAATATTCAGTAAGTAAATACCATAGTTTATATCATCTTGTCAGTGAGCATTTGGTAGTTTCTAATTTTTGATGTATTTTAAATAGTGAAATTGTACATGATTTCTGGTATGAATTTTTCTAAGTTTTATTTTAAATGAGAGTTTCTCATCAAAAAGTCTCTTTAACATTCATATTTCTCAAAGTTTAAAAATACTTTTCATAATTTGAACCTTTGATAGAATCTAAACTGTTTGACAAATAGGCCTCCATGAAAGCGTGTATATTCACAGTTGGAAATGAAAATCTTGTAGTAAAAGATGGTGACAGAAAGACTGAAGATGGTGCATTTGATTGCGTTTGTGGTATTAAGTTTTATATACATATAGAGAGAAGCTGTGTGTGTGTGTATGACTTTAGTTTGTGAAATTTCCTTGGGTTAGATGGGAGTTAGGGAAGAAAACCAGATTTAGTATACATGGTTCCTAATTCATGAGTTATGATGATGGTTTGACTTAAGTGTTTGACTTTATGATAGTGCGAAAATGATACACATCCAGCAGAAGCTGTGCGTTCCCCAGGCTGGCTCTCTGCAGTGTGGTGCTCTCACATTGCTGGGCAGTGGCAGCCTGCTACAGCTCCCTGTCAGCAACTCAGGCACAAGCAAAACACTGCCAGTATTCTTAGAACCATTTTCGACCATATAGCCATGCTGCTTTTCACTTTCAGCACAGTGTTTAATGTGAAATATTCAGCACTGTATTATAAAGCAGGCTTTGTCCTAGGTGATTCTGCTCAGCTGTAGGCTAATGTAAACATTTTGAACACATTTAAAGTAGGGTAGATTTGAGCAAACTCCAGGAAATAGCAGGACAGGGAAGCCTGGCATGCTACAGTTCATGGGGTCAAAAAGAGTCAGACACAACTGAGCAATTGAACAACAACAAAAGGTTAAGCTATGATGTTTGGCAGGTTTCTGACTGGATGTTTTCAGTTTAATGAAGTGTTTATTGAGATGTAATCCCATCATAAGTGGAGAAAGAGCTGTACTAAGTTTCTGCTACCAAACACTTTTTTGGTAGCAGAAACAAAATAGTCAAGGCACGTTCCCTCTTTGAGATAGGTATTAATTTCTTTCCTTCTTGGTTTTCTGAATGTTTTAAAACCCTTAAATTTTACGAGATAACAGATCTTTGCTGTTTTTTCATTGTTTAATGTTTATCTCAGTGATGAATGTGAGGTATGGCAAACTTAAAATTGTGTCTGAAAGATTCTTAAATAACTTTTGCAAAATTTGCTGTTACAACTTATTACCGGATTCAAAGCTTAAGTAAGAAGTTTATCATTGGTGTTTTAAAAATGAGCATTTCTGTACACTGAAAACTACAAAGCATTACAGAGAGAAATTAAAGATAACCCAAATAAATCCAGAGATATACTATCTTTATAGATTGGAAGATTCAGATTGATCATCTGTAGACTGACTGCAATCCCTCTCATAATCATAGTGGGTCTCTTTGTAGAAATTGAGAAACTTATTCTGAAATCTATAGAGAAATGCAGAGGATCTAGAAGAGCTAAAACAATTTTAAAAAAGCAAAAGGACTTAATAAATACCTCACTTTAAAACTTATTATAAAATTGTAGCCATAAACAAATGGATCAATATAATCAGGTCAAGAAATAAATTCTGATATACATGGTCAGTTTTTTGCACAGATGCCAAGGTAATGTATTAGAGTCCTTTCAACAAATGGTGCTGGAACAGTTGGATACCCATATGTTAAAAAAATGACACTCAGACCCTTCCCCATACAATACAGAAAAGTGGATTATAGATTTGTATAAAATCTAGAATTAGAAGATTTCTAGAGGAAAACGTAGGATCAAGCAGCAAGGATATATTGTGCAGTGCGGGAAAACATAGCCATTATTTTGTAATAATTCAGAGTATAATCTTTAAAAATATTGAATCACTGTTATACACTTGAAACTAGTATAGTTGTACTGAATTTTTAAAAAGAAACAAACAAAATGTAGGACCAGTGACCTGGATTTAAGAGCTAAAACTCTTAGAAGAAAACATAGTAGTAAGTCTTCATCATCTTGGATTAGGCAAAGATTTCTTAGATACAGAAACAAATGCATAATCCATTAAAAAAACATTGAAATGAACTTCATAAAAATTAAAAATCTTTGTGCTTCAGAAAGCACTATTTGGAAACTGAGAAGACAAGCAACAGACTTGGAGAAAATAGTTGCAAACCATATACATGTGACTAAGGATTTGAATCCAGAATATATAAAAAAGTTACATCTCACTGATAAGGTGACAAATAATCCAATTTTGAAAAAGGGCAAAAATTTGAAAAGATACTTTACTAAAGAAAGATAAATGGATGGCAAATAAGCACGTGAAAAGATACTAATAAACTATCTGATAATATCATTAGATATTAAAATCACAGTGCTGCTGCTGCTAAGTCGCTTCAGTCATGTCCGACTCTGTGCGACCCCATAGACGGCAGCCCACCAGGCTCCCCCATCCCTGGGATTCTCCAGGCAAGAACACTGGAGTGGGTTGCTGTTTCCTTCTCCAATGTGTGAAAGTGAAGTCACTCAGTTGTGTCCAACTCTTAGCGACCCCATGGACTGCAGCCTACCAGGTCCCTCCATCCATGGGATTTTCCAGGCAAGAATACTGGAGTGGGTTGCCATTGCCTTCTCCAAAATTACAATGAAATACCAGTAATACCCCTAAGTTGACTGTAAAATAAGAGAAAAAATATATATGTTGGTCTCTGCCCTGGGTTCTAGATATTGGGCTCCTGAAACCATTGTACTCTCTCGGGTGGTAAGAGTGTCTTTTGTTCTAATGAGATGACTGGATGGCTCCAGGATGATGGCTGTTCACTAGAAATAACAAGCCATGATTAGAAGCTTGGAATTTTCAGCCTTATCCTCCCCCTGCCCCCAGTCACCACCACCATTCCCCACAGTTCGCTCGAGAAGGGAGAGGGGCTATAAATGGAGTTAGTGATCAGTCATGCCTGTGGGGTCCACGGGACTTCTGGGTGGTGCACTAGCAGAGGAGGCATGTCTGGAGAGGACATGGGAGCTCTGTGTCCTCCCCACATACTTTCCCTGTGCACCTTTTTCATCTGGGTGTTCATCTGTCTTTCATCTTGCCCTTTTATAGTAAACTGGTGAGTGCAAATAAGTATTTTCCTGACTTCTGTAAGCCGCTCTAGCAAATTAAACCTAAGGGGATCATGAGAGCCTTCTATCTGTAGCCATACTGGATAGAAGTTGTGGGTGACCTGGGTGAAGACCTACTACGTACAGTTGGCACCTGAAGTAGGGGGCAGTCTTGTGGGACTGAGCCCTTAGCCTGTGGGAGATAATGCATAGAACAGCCATCTGGTGTCACAGAGTATTGCCTAGAGTGGGAACAGCGCTCCACACGTGGTAACCAGAAGGGTCAGAAACATTAGGAGCGTGAGAGGAAACGAGAAACATAGGAGGGAAGGACTAAGTATTTTTCCTATTCACTGGCTAAAATAAGAAAAAATTAAAATTAAAAAAAATGTTCTTAAGTATTGATAAGATGTGGAGCAATTGAAAACGTTATGCATTTTTGGTGGGAAAGTAAAATCATTTAAAAAGAATCTTCTTAAACATATACCTTATATATGATTCATATTAAAATGAAATTCCAGGTTTATTTTGTTATGCTTTGCTTGTTACCCACAAGTGAAGTACAGTGGGAAAAAAAAATTGCAATGGACTGACTACTCCATTATATTAGGTAATAGCTGATTGTGTTTTTTATCTACTCAGAAGCTAATGAGACTAATTTTCATGTCATGGCTGTCTTGTTGAACAAGATGCGGTAATATAGAAGCCATGGGATGTAGTAGGCAGGTGCTTAGATTTGGTTTTGAGTCCTAGTTCTACTTTATTGATGCTGCAGATTCCTCACTTCTGAAAAGGGGAATTACTGTCCTGACTCAACAGGGTTGTTAATCAAATGAGATAATTTCTATTAAAGCACTTCGTATAATGTAGGATACAGATATGATATTGTTACCATATGTGAGGTCAAAACATGTCCTTAGTGCCTTTGTCAGACATTGACACACCTTTCCTCCCCCTGCTGCCATGATTATTCAAATAGTAGAAACAAATACTTTCTAGTACTTACCCTCTTCAAATTTTCATGTTCTTGAGCTCATTACTTAAATTAATTCCTTTTCCATCAGCAAAATAGAGAACATTTTTACTTCTTTTGGAGGATTACTCTTGTATTTGTGAACTGAAAAGAAGATTCATTCAACAGTATTTTAAACATCTACTGTGATACATGTCAGACAGTATCATCTCAGCTGGACACAGTCATTGCACTTGTGAGTCTTACAATCTAGAGAAAATAGAAATGTATAAAAAAGTCATGGGCTGTGATGTAACTATTTATGTAAGATTGTAAAACAGTATGGTTATTCCC